TTAAGAAAAAAATGTGTAAGGAAGAAATCGACGTATTAGAAAAGGATAGTATTGGAAATAAGGAAATCGAAAAGAGAAATAGGAGAAAAATAAATGAGAAGAAATATTTGGGGCCCAAAAGCTTAAGTAGAACCAAGAGAAAGAGTGAAAGAAGAAGAAGAAAGACGAGTGGCAAAGGTATAATCTAGTAGGACAAGAAAAATCGAAGATTAAAGCAAGAAGGATGACAATATAATTCAAAAGAATAAAGAGGGCAGAAGGAGAAAGTAGAGGAAGGAAGGAAAGAAGTACGAAAGGAATGATGGAAAGAAGGAAGGAACGCAACTAAGGAAAGGAGGGGGGACAGAAGAAATTAAGAAAAAACGGAAGAAAGAAAAGAATAAAACGAGGAAGAAAAGAGGAAAGGAAAGAAGGAAAAAAGTAAGGGGAAAAGAAGGAATGATAGAACGAAGGAAAGTACAGTGAGGAAGAAAAGTAGGAAGAAGAAATGAATTAAAGAAGGAATGAAAGCAGAAAAGAATGTTAGAAAAGAGGTGTAAAGGATGGAATGAAAGAATGAATGAACTAAGGAACGAATGAAGGAAGGAAGGAATGAAGGATGAAGATAATATGGAATGATGTACGAATGAAGATAAGAAACAAGAAAGAAATACGGAAAGAAAGAAAGCAGGAACGAAAAAACGAAGGAAGGAAGGAAGGAACGTTGATGGAGGCAGAAAAGGAAAGAAAAGCTAAGGAAGGAAGTAAGGAAGCGAAAGAAGGGAAGGAAGGAAAGCGAAGGAAGGAAGGAAGGAAGGAAGGAAGGAAGGAAGGAAGGAAGGGGAGGCGGGAAAGGAAAGCGAAGGAAAAGAGGAATGAAGGAAGGAGGAGTGACGGAGAGAGGGATGGAGGCAGGCAAGGAAAGGAAAGCGAAGGAAGGAAGGAAGCAAGGAAGGAAGAAAGGAAGGAAGGTAGGAAGGAAAGAAGTGGGGGGCAGGAAAGGAAAGGAAAGCTAAGGAAGGAAGGGAGGAAGGAAGTTAAAATGACGGTGAGGAAGGCAAGAAACCGTTGGGGAGGATAAAGAGAAGAAGAACGTATTTTGTAGGATAAAATGAGAGAAAAGACGAATGAGCCAGAGAAAAACTATGAAAGAAAGTATATGAAGGATCAGGATTAAAAGAGAAAAGGAAGCATGAGAGAAAGAGAGAAGGAAAATCATATGAAAAGTTTCAGAAAGTCGAGTGTGGATTAAGACGTAATGGAATGAGGAACGAAATACACAGAACAAGGGGGAAATAGAACGAAGAAAGATAAGAAGGAGAGGTTAAACTAAGAAGAAAAAGATGGATAGAATAAGATATACAGAAGAAAAAGAAGAAGAAGAAAATGAAATATATAAAAGAAGAAAAATACAGTCCAAAATAAAAAAGGAAGGAAAATAAAGCATAAAACAATTGTCAAGACGAAGAAAATACAGTAATGAATGAAAAGAAAACGAAACAAATAAGGAAGAAAAATCAGAAAGAAATCTATTGAAAAAGATGAACGGATAAGAAAATGAAACAAAAAAGAAGAAAATCTGAAGACAAACAAGAAAATACGGAGAAAAAGAAGACAATGAAACGAAGGAAAAAACGAAGAAATATATGGATGAAAAAAATGACAGCGAAGAAGAAAAAAGGTCAAAACGAAGAAGATATAAAGAGAAAATACAACAAAGAAGACAATGAAACGAAAGAAAAAAGGAAAAAAGGAATATATATATATATATATATATATATATATATATATATATATATATAAATAAAAAAGAAAGAACAGTAAGATATAAAATCCGGTGTTCTTATAGATATTTTCATTTTTACAAAATAGTGCTCAATGTAATTTACAAACATTAATATAAATTAATTGATTTAAAATATGTTTTTTTCGCTACACAGTTCAACCATGTTTCAAAAATAGAAGCTAAAATTTCTATTTTTGAAACATGGTTGGAAACGAAAAAAACATATTTTAAATCAATAATTATATATATATATATATATATATATATATATATATATATATATATATATATAATGACATGAAGAAGAAGAAAATGGATCAAAACAAAGACGATATAAAGAAGAAGAAGAAGAGAAAACACAGCAAAGAAGAAGAAAAACGAAACGAATGAAAAAAGGAATATATATATATATATATATATATATATATATAAAGAAATATAGTCTTAAGGTGTGCTATATTTATGGTATAAAAGTGCTCAATATCAGAGATAGAGCGTGTGTTAATATAAAAGTCAACACTTAAGTCGACTGTCTGTTTCATTAGATGCAATCGCAGGCCTGACGATTTCATGCTAGCATGAAACAATCGTCACCCCTGCCTGTTCACTTTTTTTACTATATATATATATAATGACAGCGAAGAAGAAAATGGATCAAAACGAAGACGATATAAAGAAGAAAGAAAACACAGCAAAGAAGAATAAAATGAAACGAATGAAAAAGAATATATATATATATATATATATATATATATATATATATATATATATATATAATGAAGAAAAAATGGATCAAAAAGAAAGCGATATAAAGAAGAAGAAGAAGAGAAAACACAGCAAAGAAAAGAAAATGAAACGAATGAAAAAGGAAGAAATATATAGATAAAAATCACAGCGAAGAAGAAAAAGGGTCAAAACGAAAACGATGTAAAGAAGAACACAAAATATACAGCAAAGAAGAAGACAATGAAACAAAGTGAAAAAAGGAAGAAATCTATAGATAAAAAATAACAATAAAATAATAATAAAGACGAAAATGGATCAAAATGAAGACGATGTAAAGAAGAAGAGAAAATATGACAAAGAAGAGTCAATGCAACAAATGAAAAATGAAGAAATATATAGATAAAAAATGACAGCGCAGAAAAAAAGTGGATCAAAAAGAAAGACGATATAAAGAAGAAGAGAAAATAAAGGCAAGAAGAAGACAATGAAACATTGGAAAAAAGAAAGAAATCTATAAATAAAAAATGCCATTGAAGAAGAAAATGGATGAAAACGAAGACATAAGAAGAAGAGAAAATGAAGCAAGGAAGAATACATTGAAACAAAGAAGACAAAGATGGCGAAGAAGACGAATAAAATAAAACGAAGAAATGTATGTTATAGAAGAATATTTAAGCAAAACTAGTCCAAGACCAAAAAGGACGATGATTCTTTGAGTCTTTTGTTCATGAAAACAAAAACAGTTCACTCACTCTATATACAGATATTTGCCGTTGGGGAATTCACCTTGTAAAGAGGTTGGAAGAAATCCAAAAACACTACAAATACTGAGGTCCCTTCAGGGCAAGTATTGGGATCCAGATGATGAATAACAAGGAGATGTCCCGGGTAGATAGCACAATGGTTATATCACTGAACGGAAGTAAATCTTTTATACAGTTAAAGTTCCGTTAGTGGGAAATGCAAATCGCTATGCAGACGGTATGTGGGGGGAGAGTAGGCAAGAACAACAACAAAAAGGGAAGTGAATTTAGGTAATCTGTATTTAAACTTAGACAATTCCAAACGGAACATTTCCAAGAATTACACGTAGAAAAATAAATATTAGTCGTTATTCAAAATGTTATCCATATTAACTCTCGTTTAACAGTAATTCATCCTGGGTATGACGATAAACTACATCCAGCAGCAAGGCCTGCGATCGGAAGGTTTTGTGGAACTACGTAATAATTGCTGTTGTTCCCTGGTCTACGTTGACCAGGGGTGGTAACACCTGTTGGGATCCGAACTATAAGCAAATAGTTAACAACCAAACTGGGTCCATCAACCTATGAATGTGTAGAAATAGATTTTATAGTAAAAATACTAGCAATACATTTTTTTTTTTTTTAAAAATGATCAGAAATTCACAAATTAGCTTTTCCCTTCCATCTTTTTTAAAAATAAGTATTACCAGCAATATATTTTGAAAAATAAAATTTTCCAGCAATTCTCGACTAAAACCTTGTTTCCAAAAAATACGTTAATGAAACCCGATTCACAAACTGATTTCTTACAAATACATACATCCATACGAACCTATCCTAAAAATCTTGTCGACATTACATAACTCACTGAGGTTGACATGCCGTAAAACAAAATAAACTAAATGATCTAACAGTAAAATTTGCCTCAATATGTGAGCCATGAAAGTACATTTCCGCTAGATATTCCATTCATTATTGCAATAACCAAATAGTAATAATCGTATTCGGAACATTAGCTGTAAACATTTTTGCCGTAGGTAACATTGCCGTGTAGGATTTTTGCCATAAGACAATTTTTTCTATACCATTATTTTGAACGTCCCCTTTCGAGTAATGTTCAGTTTATCATGCGAAGTACCTTGTGTCTTTTTTACAGGGTCAAACATCAGAAAAGAAATTAAAAAGGAAACATTTATTTAAAAAATAAGACTAAAATACATATCAAATATAACAAAGAAATAATTTGGAATGTGTACAAATTCCAAGTAATGTTTCCTAAATAATGTGCTTTTTTGTTTTGGACTATAATGAAGCATTTTCCACTGAAGTCTTGCATTGATAGCAATATATATTTTTTTACCGTTTTGGGGCACCTCGAGGCGGTGTAACGGTTAGCAAGCTTGACTCGCTAGAATAATTACGACTGAGTTCGATCCTCACTGGGTGTCGCTTAATTTCAGCCTTGTGCCACATCTAAGCTACGCTTGGAAAATCGCTATATTTTCTTAACTTTTACTGCATCTCCTTGATCTAAATTAGACTATCTTTTTTCAAATACACAATTAATTTCCACAAATTTAGTTACATATTAATACAACTTCGCTTATTAAAATGTTTAAATCTAAGTTACGACAGTGTGAGCCAGATATACCTGATAACAAGGTACTTCGCATCTAAAAAAAAAAAAATGAGGCGAAATTGTCTTATGGCAAAAATCCTATGCGGCAAAATTTTCTATGGCGAAAATTCCTGAGGCGAGTTTTCCTATGGTAAAATGTTTACGGTGAATGTTCCTAGAACCCTGGATAAGTTACCATATTATCGCATGACATGCTCCCACATTATCACAGAATAATAATAGACCATTCCGCTTTGTAACCAGAAAAATGGAAAGAAAAAGACAAATCAGTGACGCTGTTTGGCTTCAGAGAGAAAAAGCGGGAATACAGTTTCCTGATAGAATACAAGTAAATAGAAAGAAAGAAATAGATGGAAATAGAATAGATAGAAATAAAAAAAATATAGCGGAAGCGATACATAGGTAGAAATAAATAGATAGAAATAAATACATAGATAGAAATACATAAATAGATAGAAAGAAATACATAGATAGAAATACATAGATAGCTAGAAATATATAGATAGAAATAAATATATAGATAGAAATTCATAGATAGAAATACATAGATAGATAGAAATACATAGATAGAAAGAAATATATAGATAGAAATACATAGATAGAAATACATAGATAGATACATAGAAATAAATAGATAGGAATACATAGATACAAATACATAGATAGCTAGAAATAAATAGATAGAAAGAAATATATAGATAGAAATAGATAGAAATACATAGATAGATAGATAGATAGATAGAAATAAATAGAAAGAAAGACAGAAATAAATAGATAGGAATACATAGATGCAAATACATAGATAGCTAGAAATAAATAGGTAGAAAGAAATATATAGATAGAAATACATAGATAGAAATACATAGATAGCTAGATAGAAATAGATAGATAGAAAGACATATATAGATAGAAATACATAGATAGCTAAAAATAAATAGATAGAAAGAAATATATAGATAGAAATACATAGATAGAAATACATAGATAGATAGATAGAAATAAATAGAAAGAAATATATAGATAGAAATACATAGATAGATAGAAATAAATAGACAGAAATAAAGAAAATATAGCGGAAGCGATATATGTCTTCAACGTCTGCTTTGTGGAAAGATAATATATCCGGTTCCGAGTTGGTTCATCATAGGGATTAGTATACCCGTGGAATACTAATACATTGTAGGGATGTAAAACGCGATTATCTAATTTTGGGTGAGACGATGTGACGAGTGACACGCGAAGACCAGTGAGTGACGTCAGTTCATAGACTCTCACATATTAGTTGCCGTTCATTACGTCTCAAATTAAAACGTGTTTGCGCACGAGTTGCTATATTAGCCGCAAAGAAGAGAGATAAGCCCACAGCGGTAGGGTGAGTAGATGAACCTCCATAGTCTTACCAGAAACATCAGCAACACCAACGAGCAGCACTTTTTCCCATTAGCGAATATAATAAGGATTACTCTCTATATGTTTTCTCCTTTCACACTGTTTATTGTATACATGTGTTATAGTTTCTTCGCGTGAGATAAATTAGTAACAAGTATATATATATATATATATATATATATATATATATATATATATATATATATATATATATGGTATAAAAAAAGACAATTGGAAAATTTTTAGATTTTGCCAACGCGTTTCGTCTTGCGACTTTTTCAAGGCAAAAATGATAACGAAATGTTTTTGTTGTTATAGTTACATTTAAAAAAATCGAAATTTAAAAGATAGTCGCTTCTGTCTGAGCTTTTTTTTCTAGTTAATGTAAATTACCTTTATAGCAAGTGATTTTTTTTTTAACATTAACCACAAAAAAAAGCTTAGACAGAATTTTCCAGTTGTTATTTGATACCAATCTGTCTTGTCCACAGAATTGATCTGGGATCTGGGAATTGAACTATATATATATATATATATATATAAATATATATAAAGAAATATAGTCTTAAGGTGCGCTATATTTATGGAATAAAGTGCTCAATATCAAAGATAGAGCGTGTGTAAATATAAAGTGAACATAGAAGTCAACACTTAGAGGCGACAGTCTGTTTCATGCTATATGCAATCGTCAGGCCACATATGCTCAGCATATAGCATGAAACAGACTGTCGCCTCTAAGTGTTGACTTCTATGTTCACTTATATATATATATATATATATATATATATATATTGGTATGAAAATCTTTTTGAGAACTATGGCATTTATACCTTTTCTTTCTTTTATGTGATTGATTTACTTCTTTACGGCTTATCAACTCTTTCCAGTTTATTTAAAGTCAAATGATATTTTTAGATTGTGTTGGATTCTTAAAGAGGTTACAAACCAACAAATGTATTACTCGACTGAAGGAATGGTAACATGCGAGTAGATTAAAGGTTTATTCTAAAAGAGAATACAATACTAAAAGAGAAGGAATCGGCTAGCAGAAGAGTAATTCCTGAAAACAAGTCCACATCGTTATCCTGTGCTCACTAAATATATATATATATATATATATATATATATATATATATATATATATATATATATATATATATACAGTGCTGATCGATAAAAGTGACGAACCTGTATTTTTTTCCTAAAAATATTTTTTGTCTATTGTTTTGTGAGTTAAAATATTTTTTAATTTTACTAATATAAAAACCCTTCACGACCACCTAGAAAAAAGTTTATTCACCCTACGGTATTCTATTGATAATTATAAATTTGGATATAAATGAGATTCAGGAAAAAACTGCAAAAAAGTGACTCAGATATAGAATTCTAATAATTAAAGTGGTAAATTTAAAGAACTTTTCACAAAATATTGAAAAGTATTTTACAATACACTCAGAACAACATTCTAGAGGATTCTAGAACAGCTTAAATTAAATCTAGAGTATTCCAGAATATTCCAGAAAGCCTCATACAGTAAAAAAACAGCTTGAAATAGCCACTCAATTCACTAACCAGATGAAAAAGTACAAACACGCATCAGAACCACTTAAGGCATCTATTATTGCCTTCTCGAAAGAGAAATTGCTATAACCTCACAATCAACTGTCTTTCGAGTGCTTAGGGTACATAATGATGCCACTCCTTCTCCAATGAATGAAACAATGGAACGAAAGAAAAACATTGATGATAGAACTGGCAGGGTAATCAAGAGAGAAGTTTGCGAAGAATAGGACTATAACTAACGTAGAAATTGCAGCCAGTCAAAGCGAAGAGCAAGGCAGTCTTGCCTCTTCAACAGTCCGTCAGAACAAGGTTACACATCTTGTTAGAACAAGGCTACAAACATTGTACACGAAGGTTTAACCCGCTAATAAACACAGCCAACAAAGCCAAGAGACGTGAATGGGCTCACTATTACAAAAATGTCACCGCAGAAGACTGGAAGAATTTTCTCTTCTCCGATGAAACGAAAGTTGAGCTAAATTCTAAGGATAAGGCGAGTCACTTTTATCGAACAGCACTGCGTATATATATATATATATATATATATATATATATATATATGACAATAGGAAAACTGTAGTTATTGATGACGCGTTTTTTTATGTACTGCGGATCGATAGTTTTTACAATACGTGGTTTTTAAATACGTGGATTTATCACATCACAAGAAATATTTAAATAAAATTCTCACTTAAAATTTTGAAAAACTTTGCGTTGCGTCTTTGCACGTTCCGAGATCTTACACAACCGTCAATAATAGCAGATATTCAAAAAACATCTTCGTCTTCAAGTTTTTGATTTTATAAGGAAAAAACACATGCCTGATGATGAATAGAGGACTATTCGTAAGTACTAGCATTTTAACATCAAATAAACTGAAAACTACAGGCATCAAGTTTATCGACGAGGATCACTTCGCACTATGGATTGACAGTATTTTAATGCATATATTATGTTTCTAGCGATGGATGTCGCCAATAATCGCATTAATACTTCTGATTGATTCTATGTGTGATTTTTTCTTTGTATATAAATTATATGCTGCCTAATGTTTTATGTTTATATATATATATATATATATATATATATATATATATTCAGCATACATAGGCGATAGGGTGTATAGGACATTCAATTACAAAATATTGTAACTATATTTTCCTGGGAATAGTAATGCTTTATTGACACAACTCTCAATAATTTAGTTATTAAGCTTATAGAATCTGCTATTCCCGACCCATCTCGGTACGGACAAGTTTTGATTTTGCTTAATTGATGCTCATATGATAACTTCTTTTTCAACGTGGTATGGCCGTAAACGTCATATCTTTCAGTATTAATGCCTATAACTGGAAAAAAAGCAAACGGGAAATATTATTTCACGCCTCGCAACCCATTAACGTTCAAGAAATGAAGGGCCGGGATATATGAAAGAAATGAATGCCAATATGCATTCTTATGTTAATAAAGATTTTATCTACGCGTATATCATAAGAAATTATATACAGAATGTATATAACGTTTACACTTTGTCTCACGTAGAGAACCTATAAAACATCTGGATAAAACAAGCAATGAGAAAAGGCTAAAATCGAGAAGGTCTTACTTGTGATATTCCCAGGAGGGAAAATGGTCAGAGCGTTTGTTTTATATGTTCCTTGTTTGAAGCACGGGGCTTCCATTTGTTCGCCCTGACGCCGCGCGATATCACGTCTATCTTACTCGCGGTTTACATCGTAACTTACAGTTGTCAGCTGTTGTTATACACCGGCCGTCACATGACTCTTTGTGAATTACTTCAACCGAAATATCGATAATCGTATTCTCTATCATTGTTTTATCTTCTTATTTGCCTCAAGCATTTCTTTATATAAATCTTATTCTAACATTCATTTTATTTTGCACTGTCGTCCTTGCTCTTATATCCATTTCTCTTTCAGATTCATTTTTCATTTATTTATAAATGTATTTTTATTTTCCACTCGGATAATTTTATTTTGATTTCCCTGGCCATCATTTGTATTGAATCTCACTTCGTGTTTAGTTCCTGACTCTGTCAATAATTGGCATTAATTTCAGATTTTCTAAACTCTTCTATTTTCACAAGCTTTCATTTTCGTTTTTTTTTTTTCGTATATTTTTGTTCACTTAATTTTCACTTGTCTTTACAACGTATATTTACCATTTTCCTTGTTCATATAATTATTTACCATTTCTCTTTAAAAATATATCTCGAGTCTCTTACATATATTTCAATTTCTTGTCTTCAAAGCTTCATTTTCCTATTTATTTAATTCTTTAACAATTAATACGACACGTTCTTTCACTATTTTTCCAGTTTTTTCGAAATGATTTTAATATTTATCAGATTTATATAATTATTAAATTATGTTAAATTATTGCTTTTTTTGTCATTTATCTTTCAGTAAGAGATTTAACGATTTCTAAATTTACTTTATATTATACCAATTTATTTCGTCTCCATTTAAAATGTAGTTTTGTTTTCATTTTTTTGATTTCTACGTTTAACTTTTAAAATATCAAAATTCAATTAATTTTATACCAATTTTCTTTACAAACATTTTTTAGTGTGTTTTCCTTGTTATATATTCCTTTCGCTATCCAAGAGTTTTAACAATTTCTAAATTTACTTCATTTTATACCAATTTTCTTTGAATCCATTTCTTCTTAGTGTGTTTTTTTTTTGTCATTTTTTTCCATTTCCACGGTAGCGGTTTTAACCATCTCTGAATTTACTTAATTTTCCATCAATTTCCATCGCCACAATTTTTAAAAACATATCATTCTCGCAGACATTTTCTTTTTCTCCATCGAATATTTTGAACTTTCATACCATTTTTCTTGAATACATTTTATTTTGTAAATCTTACTTATTATAAAACGCAGATTGTGTGTGTGTGTGTGTGAGTGAGTGTGTGTGTGTGTGTGTGTGTGTGTGTCTGTACGTTCATATATTGGATCGGATTTCCTACATTTTTCAACTGATTTCCACAAAACTTCACAGGACTGCGTAAAATTACCTTGCGGTGGTTCTGACAGCACCAAAAATTGGAAAAAACACATTGTTTTTGCATGAAATCAATTTGAAAACACGATAAAACGATTCTGTCGCCAGAATGAAAGGGGAC